GCCCGGGGGGGGGCGGGCGGGGGGCGCCGCCGGGGCCCGCGCGGGTCCGCGGGGCTGTCGAGTCACCCTCGGAGAAGCGCCTGCTCTCAGGGTCTCTCGTTGTCACCGGCATGGTGGCTTTGCCTGGGGTGAAAGGACAGCCGGGCACCCCGCAGCATCCTCCTCCGGCCACGGGAGAAGCATCGACCCCTTCCGCGTCCCGGCGGGGGCTTCAGCCGAAGCGGACCCACGCGTGCCAGCAGACCCACCGGGCTGGGGACCTGGGACCTGTCCCCTCTGCGCTCCTACCCCCGGGGGAGAGGGCTGCCTTTCTTCTTCCCCCGCGCAGACCTGCGGGGTTTTTCCCCTTCCCCAGAAACCTTTGAAGAGGATTTGTAGCACCAGTGTGGGGTTTAAAAAGCCTAGAAGCAAAGGGTGGGCTGGTCAGGAAGAGTCCCTGGAGACGTCATCTAGGAAAAAAAGAGATTTCCCTTGAAAAGAGATTTCCCTTGGCTGTGTAGGTCCCTGCGAAGCCCTGCCAGGTTGTGAGGGTTGATCTCCTTCAGCCCAGCCAGGCACTGGGGTGAGATCTGGGCTGTCCAGCCCCCGAGGGCTGCGGCGCTGGAAACACCAGGTCTTCAGGTCCAAAAGCTTCTGAGACTTCTCGTGCTGATGGTCACCCTGGGGGTGCATTGGGAGCGGCTGGTCCTGCTTTTCCTGGTGACACGGTGTTTCTGCTGCGTGCGTGGGTCGTTCCCGTTGAGCCCAGCCTTGACCTTTACCCGGGAGCACATGCACGGCGGCTCTTGCAGAGCTTGCAGGAATTGGGGTTGGAAATCAGGAAGCGAGACGTGACGCTGGGTCTCGTGCCTGCAGAAGGGCGAGTCCTGCCGTGAGGCTGCGGCTCCCCAGCCCCGCGGCCGGGGCTCAGTCCCCCGTCCGATGGCAGCGGTGTCCTCACCCTGGATTCGGGCGACGAGAGGTGAGTTCTCCTGCCATATCTCTGCTGGCATGAGGACACCTGTGTGCCGCGACCCCCAAGCTGAGACCCAGGGAACTCATTTCCCCTGTGCCCCCATCCGATGCCCAGGTTGTCCCTTGTTAACATACCTTAATTAACACTTACCGTGTCCTTCTTCATCCCCTTCTAGGAGCAGTGAAGTGCCTGACCCCCGCGCTGCCGCGGTCCCAGCCTGCCCGTTCGCGGCCCTCCCTGCCCGATGGAGCCAGTGCTGGCAGAGGTCCCTCCTCGAGGCAGCCGGCTGAGCCCGGTGCGGGAGCGCTAGTGGGACTTGGACGGTGGCGTGTGCCACCCTAGGAGGGGCGATGGCTCAGGGCACCGGGAGCATCAACAGCGACTACAAGGATTGGGAGTGGAGCGCCGATGCCGGGGAACGGGCCAGGCTCCTGCAGAGCCCCAGCGTGGAGACGGTGCCGAAGAGCGGAGAGAGCCAGGGAAACGGTCTGGGGGCCACGTCGGCTCTGGGAGCCGTCTTCATCGTGGTCAACGCTGCCCTCGGGGCCGGGCTGCTCAACTTCCCCGCCGCCTTCAGCATGGCCGGCGGCGTGGCCGCGGGCATCGCACTGCAGATGGTGAGAGGGTGGGGAAGGGACAGTCCCTTGTCCCACCCTGGGAGGGGACGTGGCGGGGACGTGTGGAGCTGCAGAAGGGGCTCAGGGAGGACGTGGCTCCTGGGAGGAAGCCCTGTCGGGTGAGGGACCCCAGAGATGCTCTGTGTGTACAAGGGTGGCTGCTTGAGGTGGCTTTGGGGACCTCGTCACGCTGTTGCCTCAGTGTCCCCTCTTTCCCCACCCCAGTGCATGCTGATCTTCATCATCGGAGGCTTGGTCATCCTGGCGTACTGCTCGCAGGCCAGCAACGAGCGGACCTACCAGGAGGTTGTGTGGGCCGTCTGCGGGAAGGTGCCTGGCGTGCTGTGCGAGGTGGCCATCGCCGTCTACACCTTCGGCACCTGCATCGCTTTCCTCATCATCATCGGAGACCAGGAAGACAAGAGTAAGTGTGTCCCACGGGGGAAAAAAAATAACCAGTTGCTGTCCCTTCGGCTGGAAGGGGACAGCCTGACCGCTCCGGTTGTCCCCGCAGTCATTGCTGCTCTGGTGACGGAGCCCGAGGAAGCTGGGAGCAGCCGCTGGTACACGGACCGCAAGTTCACCATCAGCATCACCGCCTTCCTCCTCATCCTGCCCCTCTCCATCCCCAAGGAGATCGGCTTCCAAAAATACGCCAGGTGGGTGGGGAGAGCCCTCCGGGGCTGGGAGCCAGCCTTGGGCCAGCCAGCACCCACCTAAGCACGGTCCCAGGGGGTGGGGAGTGGAAACGCCGTGGTTCTAGCGCCGCACCTGCCCGCTTGCCCCTGAGGGGTTGGACATGTCCTCCTCTGCCTTCCCGTGCCTCAGTTTCCCCATCTGGGAAGCAGAGGAGCTGCTGAGCACCGCGCGGCCACAGTATCGTACTCCGGGGCTTGTGTCCCTCCCTTCTGCTCGCTGGAGGAAGCGGGGAGAGCTGCTTTCAACTGCGTTGTCCCCTGTCTTTGGAGTTGGCCATCCAGCAGAAAGGAGAGCCAGTAAGGGTCCCCGGGCCCGGTGGTCTGCAGGCCAGCCCCGCTCCACCAAGCATCTTGGTGTAACCGGGCTGCTGGAGCTGGACCAGGGCTACCGCGGAGTGTCACTTCTTTAACAGTCGCCTCTTTCTCCTGCCCGAAACCCAGCCCATCCCCTTGCTGGCAGGTCTGCCACTCACAGCGGCACGGGACAGCCCCCGAGCGCAGCGGGATTGCGTTGGCATCCGCTCTGGGGACAGCGGGTGACGGTGCCTGGCATATTCCCATGGGAAGAGAGAGCAGGGGTGGTCCTGATGGGAAGGATTGGGGTGGCCTGGGCTGTGCAGGGAGGAAGATGGGGCTGCAGAGGGTGGGTGGAGACCCTCCGCAGAGCGGGGAGGCAGCACGCTGACGGTCTCCTGTCCCTTCTTGCAGCTCCCTGAGTGTGATTGGCACGTGGTACGTCACAGCAGTCATTATCATCAAGTACATCTGGCCCGACAAGGAGCTCGTGCCTGTGGAGATCCCCACCAGGTGAGTGCAAGAGACCTGATGCTGACGGTGGCCGTCACAGCACTGCAGAGCCAGGCAGGGCTGTGGGAGCGAGGGCTGCAAAGGCTGGGGACAAATCCGTCATGGGTCCCATCCCTGGGCCCGGGGACGCTGCATGTTGCTGCCAGAAGCTCCCAAGTGGCTGCATCTCCGCATGTTTCAGAGGAGCAGGTGGTGAAGGAGAGGAAAAAGACCTCTTGGAGGTCCCCACGGCTCCGTCACAGGTTTTGAGGAGAGCTGATTGACTTTTAGCTCCGATACAGCCAGGCCCAGAGTTCCCCGTGCGGTGCTTGTGCTCACCCAGCAACCAGGGCTGTGTCTATTTTAGGATGATTTTGGTTATTTCCTTGGCCAGCACAGCCCCTGTGGCTTGTCCCCTCCCTTGTCCCCAGATGTTTGGGGACATTTATGGACCCAGTGCGGGCAGTGGGAATTTTAGGGCAGGGCAAAGTTTAGACCGGTTTTCGGTACTGCCCAAGTAGATTCTTATTTTTTTTTACTGATACTTTTATTTTTGTAAGTCCTCAATTTTGGCTGGTTCTGTCTCGGTGAAAGGCCCTGGTCTTCAGGGAGTGCCAGGTCCCAGGAAAACCTCGCTCCGTGCGAAGGCATCGTCCTGGGTGGGGGGACAGTAACCGCGGGGGGGGCAGGTCAGGAAGAGGAACGAGCCCGTCGCGAAAGGAAAGGCCCTGGTCTTCAGGCCAGGTCCCAGGAAAACCTCGCTCCATGCGAAGGCATCGTCCTGGGTGGGGGGACAGTAACCGCGGGGGGGGCAGGTCAGGAAGAGGAACGAGCCCGTCGCTGAGCACCCCGAGCTCATCTTCCCCTGGGGCGCTGGGTGGGGGGCGCCGGGGGCCCTGGTCTGACCGGTGGGTGTTTTTCTCCTGCCAGCCCCTCCACCTGGACAGCCGTCTTCAACGCCATGCCCACCATCTGCTTTGGGTTCCAGGTAAGGCCACCCGGCGCTCCCCTTCTCACCCTGCAGCCGCCTGGGTGGGGGACCAGCGTGGTCCAGGGATGCTCCCCTGGGCAATCGACCACAACCTTCCCCCTGTGCTCACCGCACGGCTTTGCGAGGGGGCTAAAGCCAGTTTAACATCACATCTGGATGGAGATGGAGCAATTTTACCCCAGCTGGGAAGGCCAGGGCAGCCTGTCCCCGTCTTTTCTTCTCCAGCGACAAACCTGGGGGGGATCACGATGTCACGACATCACGATATCACGCAACCTGGGGGGGATCACGATGTCACGACAAACCTGGGGATATCACGTGTGGGATCCCGTGCGGCTCCCTGTGCGCTCGGGCTCAGCCCATCGCGTGTCCCCGCTCTCTCTCCATGTCCCCGGCAGTGCCACGTGAGCAGCGTGCCCGTCTTTAACAGCATGAAGCAGCCGGAGGTGAAGACCTGGGGGGCAGTGGTGACAGCGGCCATGGTGATCGCTCTTTTCGTCTACACGGGCACTGGTGAGCGAGGGGATGCTGTGTGAGTGTGGCATGGTCCTCGGAGGGGCTGTGAGCTTCTGGAGGGCAGGGACCCTCTGCTCAGCAGAGGGACAGAGCGGGAAGGGAGGGGAGTCCATCTAACCCCCCCTGCAGCGTGCCCTGTGCCATATCCATCAAGTCTGGTCCCTCAAACACACATGCGGGAGGCTTGTCCCCGTCCCCTGCTGACTGCTCCCTTCCCGGCAGGCGTCTGCGGCTTCCTGACCTTTGGAGCCGGCGTGGAGCAGGACGTCTTGCTGTCCTACCCCTCCAATGACATCCCCGTTGCCCTCGCCCGGGCCTTCATCATCCTCTGCGTGCTGACGTCCTACCCCATCCTGCACTTCTGCGGCCGGTGAGCGCTGGGAGGAGGCAGGGGCTGATGTGGGCAGGAGGGGCAGCGCAGGGAAACCCCCCTGCCCTGGGTCTTTGCCCGCAGGGCTGTCTTGGAGGGTCTCTGGCTCCGCTACACCGGGGTGACGGTGGAGGAGGACGTGGTTCGGGAGCGGAGGAGGCGCCTGCTTCAGACCATCAGCTGGTTCCTCCTGACCCTCCTCCTGGCTCTCTTCATCCCCGACATCGGCAAAGTCATCTCTGTCATCGGGGGCTTGGCCGCCTGCTTCATCTTCGTCTTCCCAGGTAGGGCATCCCGGGATGCTCAGGGGCCAGCGGAGGTCTCAGCCTTGCGTCTCGAAGAGGGAGGGAGCGGGATGGAGATGCAGGAACCAGGAGGTCTTTAGAGAAGGACGAAAGTGTGGCGTGAGGTTGGTCGGCAGCCCAGCTGTTTTGACTGGACTCTCTGCTCCGTAACAGGGAGTGCAGCTCCGTGGCTTGTGGGGTGTCTGCTCAGTCCTCGTCTGGGTTTAATTTGCCCCTTCTCCCTTTCAGGGCTCTGCCTGATTCAAGCCAAGCTCTCCGAGATCCAAGAAACCAGGGCAATCAGGTAACCGAAACGCGCTTCCCCTCTCCCCCCTTCCCCTGTGGATGTTGGCGTGAAGGTCCCCTCTAAACATGCCCTGTCCTCCTCTATCCACAGCTGGTGGGCCCAGGTCAGCTACGGGGTGTTCATGGTCACCCTTGGAGCCTTCATCTTTGGACAGACCACTGCCAACGCCATCTTCGTGGATCTCACAGCCTGACTCCTCCTCCAGGCTGGACCGCGCTGCTGCTGTGGGGATGCAGGTTTCCCCTAGGACCAAAGGGAAGCGGGGAGAAAACACGTTGGCATGTTGGGAAGATCCAAGAGGAGCGTTATAATCTGGGGCTTGGCTGAAAGAGCCCTGCGGTGGTTTGTATCTCGTTGTCTTAACGCACCAGGCAGTCAGGCTTGTCCTCTCGGCCCTGACTCCCTGGTGAAGCCGGAGCATCACTACCAGGGGACCTGTAGGCCAGGTCAAGCCCTTTCTGCCCCGCCGGGGTAGACATCACTACCTTGGACATCACTAAGGGGTCATGGTTTGGGTTTGCGAAGGCATGCTGCTCTCACCCGTGTACCCCTGTGCTGGCGGAGCTTCTCTCCGCAGCTTAAAACTCCTTCTTCTCCCAACATTGGAGGGAGACAGTGTGTCTTGCATAAGGGGAACTAGTAATCGTGTTTATCAGACAGGGCGACATCCCCGTAGTCCTCTTCTGTGTCAGTGTTTGGTTTGGTTTGAACTCTGCTTTCCCGTGGCTCATCTCGCCGGTCTCCTGCCCTTACTCTTACATCTCCCTCCGCCTGGGCTGCGCTTTCTGTTACAAAGTGGGACCGTCGCCTTCATCAGCCTTATTTTTTTTTTTTTTTTCCGGAGGATCAGGATGAGCCCGGGGCAGGGGCACGCCGGTGCAATGTTTCCCCTGCCAGGGGTTGCTCACTCGCTAGAGAAGGTGCTGTGGCTGCATCGACCTACTGGAGACACTACGCTAGAGCAAAGCTCTTCTCCAAATTTCCAATCCTGTTCTTCCAGGAGGTGTCCAGGGAATGGGACTGGGCCAGGTGTAGGTTTTAAGGGATGCTTTGGGGATAAAGCAGTCAGTATTAATCCGTTTTATATTGTTCCCTTGGTCGTTTACACTCTCTGTGGCTGGTGTTGCTCTGGGCTGTCCCCCCGTTGCCTGTCTGGATGATAGTTTCACTTCGGCGTTTGCTGGGTTGAGCGGTTCCCCCAGCTGCAGATTCAGTTGGGGGAGTTAAACCTCAACAGCAGACTGCTCTTATTCAGTCTTTGAGTTTCCTTGTTCCTTGTTTGGCTTCTAAAACCCCGGGGGAGGGAGGAATTCATGTGTATTTATTGCTGCTTCTGTGATGAGGTCCAGCCCGGCTTTGTGCAGCACCTGGCTTTGCTCCTTCTGCATCTTCTGGAAGCAGCCCAGGCTGTCGCGGTGGGAAGGTGAACCATGGCGTGCTTCTGTACTTCTCACCGTGGCTCTCCCCCTCCGCGACCAGTGGCGGCGGGTGGGAGGACAGCACGTGGGCGCTTCCCCTCGTGGAAACGTTTGGTCTTTCCCTACTAATGCTTGCTGCGTGTAAATGTGGACCTCCCCGCTGCTCCTCAGGACGGGACGGGGAGACCCAGGGGGAGGAGGAAGCCCCAAGCCCAGCGTGAATGTTTGAGGGACCCTGTGAAGGCACGTGTCCCTCCTGCCTCCCCCAAGGTACCTCCAACCTCCGTGCCCTCAGCTTTTGACAAAACCAGGCTCCAGCAGATGCCCCCATTCGTATGGCACCGGCTGCCTCCCGAGCCCCTTCGCCCGGCTCCTGCCTGAGAGCCGGCGCTGGGGCTTGGAGAACCCCTCGGCGTAAAGAAGAGGGTGCCCACCCTGACACCGCCCAACCCTGCGGACCGCTCCTCCTGGAGGTGGGGAGCACAGAGCCACCTTCCCGTGGGGCCCAGCAGGGCTCAGCAGATGCCGACGCCGAGATGCCTTTTAGCACCCGTCCCCCATCACGACGGAGAGGGGCTTTGGCTGTTGTGGCTCTGGCTCTCCCGAAGGTGAG